CCACCACCACCACCACCACACAACAACAACAACAACAACAACAACAACCAACAACAACAAGTCAAACAAATCGATATAAGCCCCAATTCCTAGTTCCCAATTCCTAATTCCTAATCCCTAGTCAATAATTTGATTAATGTTGACTTGGCCGGCAATAAATAAATGGCATAATTACCCAGTAATCCAGGAATGAATAAACAGATAATAATAATAATCCCAACCAACATTCCTAACTATGTAAGCCACCAACCACCACCACCAAGACGACGATGATGACGACCTGTCAAATCGATAAAGCCCAAGTTCCTAGTTCCTAATTCCTAATCCCTAGTTAATAATTAATTAATGTTGGCTCAGCTGGCAATAAATGGCATAATTACCCAGGAATGAATAAACGGATAATAATTTCAACCAACATTCCTAACTAAGCCACCAAACCAGCCACCAACCATCACTACTACAGTAGAATACAGAGTTAGGTAGTCCGTACGGAGTACTGTATTACTCCATGCTGATCCCCCACCACACCCTCCCCTTATTTTTTTTGCCCTTTGAGAGCCTTACTTATCGTTATCGATTTGATTTGTTCTGATTTGGATGAATGAGTGAATAATGAATAATGAATGAGAAAAATGTTCCTACCTATCTAGAGTAACTAATCAGTACAGTACGGAGTACTTAGCTATCTATCTATCTATCTAGCCACTAAGCTAAGTTAACCTAGGTAATAATGTAATAATAAATAATTGAGTTGAGAATTACTCCTGCATTGCATGCACTGAACTGAACTGCGTGAACTCGGGTCCCCAGTATTAATTATTTATTAGGTGACTTGATATGATATGATGATTATGATTATGATTCGGCCCCCACCGTTCATTCATTCATCCATCCATCCATTAAAATAAATTAATTAATTGATTAATTAATTATTAATTAATCAATAATCAATCAATAGGTTAGCCTGTTAGGTAAGTAGGTAAGAAGGTAGGTAGGTAGAGTACTACTACCTAAGGCTAAGAGTGAAACAATAATATTAATGAGACATTGCACGCCACGACACGTCGACACGTGGGCATTTTGGAGTCTGGGAAGTATATTAATTAAAATTAATTAATTAATAATTGATTGAGACATTATTCATCGCATTTATCTATGTACCTATCTGTCTGTTTGTCTGTCTATGGTTTATTGTTAACTACGGTGTATGTACATGTACAGTACGGCTTAGGTATAAATAAATAATATAGGTACTATATATCTACAGCAAAAAAGCATACAGCCAGAATTATAATTGGACTTGGTAACTGTCTAATTTCCCTAATTTCGTTTGCACTTTTTTCTTTTTTTCTTTTTTTTTTTGAATTTTCTGCAGTAGGAGTGGAAGGAAGGAAGTGAAAGAAAGAAGAAAAAAAGAAAAGAGTAATTAGAAGAAAGAAAGAAATGCATACCCCTCGAAGATTCCTTCTAGATTTGGTTTCTTTGTTTCCTCATTCCTTCCTTTCGTTCTTTCTTTGATCTAGACGGGGCTGGACGGACGGGACGGGACGGGACGGGAATATATGGATATTTCCTTTCTGGGAAAGACATATATTTACGGAGTATACGGAGTATGTATGTACAGACCTAGTCACCTTGCTACAGACTATCACTTATATGGAGTATGGTTATGGTTATGGTTATGTTATGGTTGATGTGGCGTAAATAGAATGAATATACCTTGATCAGTAGCTGAATATCATTAACTAATTACGATAATACCGTGATATGAAATCAAAGACCATCCTGTTTCATCGACTTGTTGACCGTATGATAGGCCATTTCAAACTGTGCATCACAATCAGCATTAGTTGGCTTTTTTAGTCTTTCATTTAGATACTGCTCACCTGCTCATTCGTCTGACATATCAACACCCGCGGACCTCTTCCTGGCTCCTTCGAGATCTCCGTCACCGTCGCCTTGCTCGCCGCGCCCTGCCCGTTCTTGGTCGCATCGATCGCGAACCCCAGACACCGACACTGCTGGACGACAGCTTGTCGCAGCAGGGCGCTCTTCTCGCCAATTCCCCCGGCAAACACCATCGCGTCTACCTGGCCGTCGACTTTCACGAAGTAGTTCCCCACGAAGCCGCTGATGCGGTCGACGACGATGTCAAAGGCTAGTTTGTGGTTCTCCGACGGCGGGCTCTCGACTGCGATCTGCGAAAAGTCCGTCGTGCCCGTGAGGACTTTCCATCCGGATTGTTTGTTGAGGATTTCTTCTGCCTGACGGCTGTCAAATCACGACTCGTAGCAAGTCGAATCTCGAGCAATGTCTTACTTACCGCGCTGATGTGCATTTCTGTGGTGCTCGAAGGACTCAAACTGCTGGCGTTGCTGGTATAGTGGAACACAAGACTACACGACTATCAGATATGACGCAAGTAAAAGTACTACAGTTGATACCTCGGGTCGATGTCACCGCTGCGCGTCGCACCCGGAAGCCCAGCAAGAGGAGTGAGGCCCATCCTGATCACAGTCAGCAACATCACCAAGATACCTCACAACCAACATGCTGCTTACGTCGTGTCTATCGACTTTCCATCGCGGATGACGCACATGGACGCCCCGCTTCCCAGATGCAGCACGATCAGAGTGGTGCTATCCTGGGGCTTGCCCAGGTACTCCGCCACATAGCGGAGGATGAACGAATAGCTGATGCCGTGGAAGCCATACTTGCGCAACCCCTTCGTTGTGGCAATCTCCTGGTTGATCGGGTACGTCCGGACGTGTTTGGGCAGGGTCTTGTGGAAGGCCGAGTCGAAGTAGGCGATGTTCCTCACGTGGACGAGCTCCTGCATGCACGTGCGGATGATCTCGAGGGCGGAGTAGTTGTGCCTGCATCGTCAGGGCATAATCCTATCAATTGGAAGACATATGTGCATACAGCGGAGCAAGATCCTCAATCATCTTCAGATGATGATACGTCTCCTCGTTGATCTCAATCGCATCCGGATAGTCCCCCCCATGCACCACGCGGTGGCAGATATACGCCAGATCCTCGACGCTGGCCACCTCCGACAGCTCGGGATCGGACAGGCAGCGCTGCAGCAGGAACTTGAACGCGGCTGGCGGCGTGTTCAGGCTCTCCCGCAGCTCCTCCTTCTTCTCGCTCGTGCTCGTCCGGTACTTGAGCTTCTGCGGCGGGGCCGTGATGCCCGAGACCTCAGCGTCTGCGATTGCCCTGGGAGGCTTCTCCATGGCATAGAAGTTGATCTTTACCGAGGACGAGCCTGCGTTGACGGACAGGATCGTTTTGGTCATGTCGGATTAACAGCATACGTCAGAAAGGAAATTCAGACAAATCCAAATCGAAAATAAAAAGAAATTCATCATAACAATATCGTATGATATTGTTGATCCACAGGCATGTGGTTGCCGATAAACATTGCAGTCAAGCGACGAGCCACGACATGGTGACGTAGAACGAACTCTGGCAGGAAGCACCGGATGGATCTGAGGAGGCAGATCAACTGGCGAGTATTTTCCTGGCATTGTCGACAATCTCTGACTTTTACGACTATAATTTATTGGATGCAGCTGCGATTATCACATTCCGGCAGCTGTTGAACTGTATGCTATACTGAACTATATACTACGCCCTGTATACATATACATCCGACATGCCAGGCGAGGTCATTGACAAGCCAAACCCCGAACCACTTCCATCGCATCTCCCTGCGACGTTGGATGACCTGATGGTCAAACTGGACCTGGTCGCCCTCGAACAGAGCGCCTGCGATGCGTTGATCAAATTCCGCCGGGCAGCCTGCTACATTGCCGCGGGTGAGCTCCCGTCTTATATATCCTCAATTGCAAGTAGCGTGGCTTTCTGACGTGTGACAGCAATGATCTTCTTGCAAGATAACGTGTATCTCAAGCGGGAGCTCGTACCAGAGGACATCAAACCTCGATTACTCGGCAGGCTGGCCCACCCCTACAAGCCCGATCTATATAGTTCTAACATGCTGTCAAGGTCACTGGGGAACCTGTCCCGGGCTCATTCTGGTCTACTCGCATCTGAATTATCTCATCAGGGAATATGACCTCGACATGCTGTATGTCGTCGGACCTGGCCACGGCGCACCGGCCATCCTGGCGTGTCTCTGGATTGAAGGCTCCCTCCAGAAGTTCTTCCCTCACTATTCCCGGGATACCCAAGGCCTGAAGCGCCTTATTTCGACGTTCAGCACGACCGCTGGCCTTCCAAGGTGTGTCTGTCTCCTCAGGATAGAGTCCATTCACCACTAACGATTCCAGCCACATCAATTCAGAAACTCCCGGCGCCATCCACGAGGGAGGCGAACTGGGATATGCCCTTGCCGTCTCTTTCGGCGCAGCGATGGATAATCCAAATCTGATTGTTGCGTGCGTGGTGGGCGATGGGGAAGCCGAAAGCGGCCCGACAGCAACGTACGTCTCTCTCTCTCTCTCTGCTGCAAGATTCACACGAGGGTTGATCGGTCACCAGGAGCTGGCATGCATACAAGTATCTCGACCCCAAAGAGTCCGGCGCCGTTCTGCCGATTTTGCATCTCAATGGCTTCAAGATCAGCGAACGGACGATCTTCGGTTGTATGGATGACAGGGAACTCACGGCTTTGTTCTCGGGTTATGGATACCAACCTCGCTTCGTGACGGACCTCGACGATATCGACACGGACCTGCACCACTCGATGATGTGGGCCATTGGAGAGATCCACAAGATCCAGAGAGCGGCCCGTTTGGGAAAACCGATCATCAAGCCTAGATGGCCAATCTTGATATTGCGGACACCGAAGGTGCGTCAGAAAGAACCCCGACTAGAATGATATATATCATTAATATATATCACCGCAGGGATGGTCCGGCCCCAAGAAGATCCATGGAAAAATCTTAGAAGGCTCTTTCAATTCACACCAGGTGCCCCTCCCCAAAGCGAAGAAAGACAGGGAGGAACTACGAGCGCTTCAGGAATGGCTTTCTTCTTACGGGCCCGAAGAGCTGTTCACCGAATCAGGATATGTCGTCGACGAAGTAACGACGATCATCCCGAAGGACGACCGGAAGAAACTCGGGCAGCGAGAGGAAGCGTACTGCACGTACTACCCGCTCGACCTGCCGGACTGGAAGGACTTCGCGGTCGAGAAGGGATCGCAGGAGAGCACGATGAAGGTCACGGGGCAGTTCATCGACCAGGTGTTCGTACGGAACCCGCATACGGTGCGACTCTTCAGCCCGGATGAACTGGAGAGCAACAAGCTGGATGCTGCCCTGACGCACACGGGCCGGAACTTCCAGTGGGATCAATACACCAAGGAGGATGGCCGCGTTATCGAGGTCCTGAGCGAGCACATGTGCCAGGGTTTCATGCAGGGCTACACGTTGACCGGCCGGACGGGGATCTTCCCGTCTTACGAGAGTTTCCTTGGGATCGTGCATACCATGATGGTGCAATATAGCAAGTTCAACAAGATGGTATGTATACCCAAGAATCCTCGCGCTATTTTCTTTCCCGTCCTGTTCTCCAACTGATCATCTGTATAGGCACGAGAGACAGGCTGGCACGGCGACATCCCCAGCCTCAACTACATCGAAACAAGCACCTGGACGCGCCAGGAACACAATGGATTCTCGCACCAGAATCCGTCCTTCATCGGGGCCGTGCTCAAGCTCAAGCCCTCTGCCGCGCGGGTGTATCTGCCCCCAGATGCCAACACATTCCTCTGCACGCTAGCCCACTGTCTCCGATCAAAGAACTACATCAATCTGATGGTAGGCGCGAAGCAGCCGACGACGGCGTTCCTCAGCGCCGAGGAAGCAGAGAACCACTGCCGCGCGGGGGCATCGGTGTGGAAATTCGCCAGCACAGACGAGGGCCTAGACCCGGACGTCGTCCTCGTAGGGATCGGCACCGAGCTCATGTTCGAAGTCATCTACGCGGCGGCGATCCTGCGCCAACGCGTCCCGGAACTGCGGGTGCGGGTCATCAACGTGACGGACATCATGATCCTGGAGACGGAGGGCTCGCACCCGCACGCCCTGGCAGAAGACAGCTTCGACGCGCTCTTCACGCCGGACCGCCCCGTGCACTTCAACTACCACGGCTACTCGACCGAGCTGCAAGGGCTACTGTTCGGACGACCAAACCTCGAGCGCGCCACCATCGCGGGGTACATGGAGGAAGGCAGCACGACGACGCCGTTCGACATGATGCTCGTGAACCAGGTGTCGCGGTTCCACGTCGCAAAGGCAGCGGTCCGGGGCGCCGCGAAGCGCAATGAGAGGGTGCGTCTGCGGCAGCAGGAGCTGCTGTCGGAGCTGAACCATAATATGCTCGAGACGAGACGGTACATTATCCAACATAGGAAGGGTATGCTCCGTCGTTTTTCCAACCCTGCTGTGATTGTTTTTCTTTCTAGCTGGCTTGTTTATGGAAGAGGAGCTGAGCTGAGCTGACTTGGAATAAATGAATATTAGACCCGGACGACATGTATGCAATGCCCAAATTTACCTAGCGAGAAGACGCTTGAGAGAGGGACATGCACGTGAACATGCACATGGATATGAATATGGACGGCTGAACTGACAGTCAAACCTAAAATCGGACTGGAGGAGGAAAAAAAATTTAAATGGCGATGCTGAATTCATTGCAGTTGTATCTCTTATGAAAGCATAGAATCAATCTATCTCTATTTTTTATTAATTCGAAGCACATAGGATCCTTGTAATAATTGATTAATTAATTATTCAATTAGTTAAAGTAACTACTGATCAACGAAGTAATTGCTGTTCGGTTAAGTAAGTGTGCGTGTATAACTATGTATAAATAAATGAAATAAACCCAACAAAGAAAAAGAAGAAGAAATATCGCTTGATCGAGTCCATCGAGGATCCTTAAGCCTTATTATTAAAAATTACCCATATCACTTATTGAACGTATTCCCATTCTATATGGTAGACAGATATATTGGAGTATATTAGTTGCTCGATAGATCTATTTTATTTGCCTTGGACAATAAACAGTTGATAGTCGACAGTTGATAGTCGATCCTAATGCTAATACCCGCTAACACCGTCTAGAAACCTAGGTATTTGATGATTCCCGCTGAACAAACAATAGGACCAAAAGGGGAAGAAAAACAAAAGGGAAGAAGAAAAAAGACATATGAGAAAAAAAAAGAAATAGCTGAGAACAGGGGCAGGAAAAAAAATCAATTACAATTAATGCCCGTCGATCTCTGGCTGTTGTATCTCGCGTTGATGCGTCTGTGGCTGCGGCTTTGACGTTGTTTTGTTCTTGTTCGTCTGCATCGCCATCACCCGCTGACATTTCAGCACAAATCCCCACGGCGCATCTGCGCGGAAGAATAGCCGCATGTTGTCGGCCGTATCTGCCATGGTCGCATGGGCGCGCGGAAACAAAGCAGCCTCGTACGCGGCCACCGCCGCATCCAGCTTCTCCGGAGATCGTTCCGCCTCTAGTGACGACACAATCCGGTTGGCGAGCTCGACGGCGTCCAGGAAGGCGGCGTTGACGCCCTCGCCCGAGAAAGGCGTCATCAGGTGCGCTGCGTCCCCGATGAGGGTGAAGCCCGGTCGGTGCGCCCACTGGAAGTCCGTCGGCATCATGTATAGCGTCCACGGCCGCCGGTCCTCGTCGGCGACTTCGATCCATTCGCGCAGGATGGGAGACCAGTCTGGGTATTCCTTCAGGAAGACTTTCTTCAGCTCTGCGGTGGAGGGATATCGCGCGTGCAGATCGATCGCCCATGTCTCGGGCTTCTTACTACTCCATGCATACACCCTCATCCCCTTGTCTCCTAATCGCTGTGCCTGGATCGCCTTCCCGTCTGACCAGCAAAAGTAGCTGCCTCTGCCGACGAACTTGGCGATATGCGGGAACCGCGTCTCGACATCGGCAATCTTGAACTCGAAGCCTGCAATCCCGGAGTGCAATGGCGTGACGTCGGTGAGAAGTGGCCGGACCCGGCTGCGACCGCCATCTGCCCCGACAACGAGATCAAACGGACCCTGGATCTCTCCCGACTGGAACTCAAGATACCCTTCCGGGCGGACGGCGGTCAGATAATGGTCCCATCGGATGCAATCTGCAGGGATCGACTCTAGCAACATCTTCCGCAGTGTCTCGCGGTCGATCTCCGGACGGCGTTCTCCTCCCATGTAACCCTTTTCCCGAAAGTCCAACACGGGAACGGCCGTCTTATCTGCTATGATTAGGTCGTCTCCCTCGTATCGGGCATGCTGGAGAAACTGATCGAACAGGCCGGCTTCTTTCATGGCATAGAGCCCACTGTTCTTATGCAGATCCAGGGTCCCTCCTTGGCCCCGGAAGGTAGCAGATTGTTCTCTTTCGAATATCGTCACGAGGATCGACTTCTGCAGCAGCAGTCGCGCGAGCATAAGACCGGCTGGACCCGCGCCAATAATGGCGATTTTAGGAGTCCAAGACATTTTGCTCGGCATGGTCTCGAGGACATTCAATAAAGCAACAAAGATATCAGAGACAAAGAGATGCCAGCACCGCAGGCTGGACACCTCAGAGAGGTCGATACTCGAACAAAAGGAAGGTTGAGTTGATCGAAAAGATGGCACTGGCAAACTGGACGAACATCGTGAGTGGAAATGGAAATCAGAGGAGGGGTCTCTTGCTGTTAATAGCGCCAAGAATGGTTGTCATGATTTGGTAGTCTGATGCAGTACATCTCGAGCCCTTTTTGGGAAAGCGAGACTGCAACTTTGTCTGCAAGCGGAGCTTCTTGACGGCGGACATGGCTGGCTGACAAGTCTGAAGATCATTTCCCTGATCAAGGCATGACGAGGCTGCATGAAGTAAGTGTCGGGCGATTGGAATGTGGCCTTTCCGCGCCGAGATCCAGATCGCGAGAAGCTGTCCTCGACGCAAGCAGGAATTCCGTCAGGGTCCAGGTGCACAAACCAATGATCAAACAGATTGTTTAAGGATGAGGGTCTAAACAGAAAAAGAAGCGTTCCCATCACAACTGGCCGATTCGGCAGTCGCTTGTCGATGTTTCCATTTCCGGCCGACCATACGTAGCTGAAGTTCTGCAGTTTTCATCAGCTGACAGCAAGAAAACTATGCCTAAATCAGTAAATATTCTATCTGCTCGAGAAGGAGGTCTTTCTGCAGATTGCGAACAGGGCATAGTTGACCATGTGGCTTATATAAGCAACACCTGCGATAACTAGGTTAACTAACTAGTTATTAAGTCATCAAAGCAATCCAAACGGTTATCATATCCAAAATTCCATTCTTCTGGTAAGTATAGACAACATAGTTGTGACTGAACCTTAACACACACCATGCCAGGACATTACCAAGCCGTGTGACCCCCGTCCACTCTCAGGTCCGCCCCCGTCATGAAGCTACTGCCGTCGCTTAGAAGGAAGATTATCGGTGCCCGATATTCATCAGTGGTCGACAGGCGATTGAGCATGTTTTCAGAGGACCATTCTTGCTCCCGATTCGGCTTTGCCGCCAGTATATCGACAGTCATCGCGGTCTTTATGTAAACAGGGCTGATCGTGTTCACCCTGATCAGAGGATGCCCAGGCCGGCTCCCCCATTCTGCGGCGAGAGAGCGCCCCAGCTGCAGGACAGCTGACTTGGAGGAATTGTATGGGGAAGTGTCGGCGCCCTGGTAACAATTCCAACAGGATTTTTTCACTTTCAGAACGAAAAGATCATACAGCTTCCCACACTCGGATTTCAAGCTTACGTACCTTGTTAGTGATAGAGCCGCTCATACTGGCCACCAGGACCATGCTCCCAGAGACGCCTTGTTTCGTCATCTCCCGCGCTGAGGCCTGGGCGACGATGAAGGTGCCAACTAGGTTGACGTCGATAAACCGGCGAAATGTGTCGACAGAACAGTCCACGGCAGAAACAGTTCCCAGGATGCCTGCACAGGTCACGACTCCCCGTAAGGGATACGTAACGCCGGCATAGCTTTGTCAAAGACATCACGTATCTCGTCGGCATTGGTCACGTCGCCTCTGTAGTATGTGATCCTCGTGCCATGGCGTTCAGCAATGGCTTGAACTCTGGCTGGATAAGGAGAGTTAAATCTCGAGCGACTCCAAAGTATCGTGGAACGAGCATTCTCTGGCCAATGCGGTTAAAGATATCACATACCCCATCCAATCTCTGGTGGGTGTTCATGAATATCAAGGCAGAGCACATCCCCTCCGCTTTCCAGTACTGCGCCGGCAACTTTGAGGCCTAGAGCGCCGCGGCTCCTGTAACTGTAAGAACAACGGATCAGACTGGCATGCTTCAATTTTCCACAACGCTAAGCCTGTATGCGTCTTATGATGGATCAATGCTCACTCAGGATGGTCCGCCCATCTAGTCGGAACAGATCTTGAGTTGAGACGTTAGGACCTCCAACGCGCGGTTTAGTCTCTCGATTATCCATCTTAACCAATATGCTTGTTGATAGATCTTTTTGGTGGAAGAAAAGAGTCGAAGCGTCCAGGCTAATGTTGTGTTTCAACCAGATCTCACTTGGCTTTGCTGGGAGACGACAACGGCACAGCAACTATAAGGTACTTGGGAGGAGATTTAAATCATTACCTACCCCAAGTCAAAGAAGCCCGATAAGGACGTGACTATTGGTGAATTGACTGCATCTGCAGTTCGTGTCACGTTGGGATTCTCTCCAATTCGTACCCCGCGGGGGACGATAACCAGTCTACTGTAGAATTGGCTGGTCATTTTCTTCTTCGGTGAGAAAGCCGAGTAGAGATATGACCTGCGAAAGCAACCTGTTCTGACGACTTCATGGACGTGGATAGATGGTCTCTGACTGCTTGGAACCATACAGCGGGATAGTTTGTTGTCCAGCAAGGTCTTCTGGCTTAATGGCCACCGTAAACGATATCTCTCTTGAATGAAAACTCGCATTTCGCAGTGTTCATTGAAATCATCTGTTCTCGTCAATGTGCATCATTGTACCATCGTGGATTTCTTTTCCGGTCACGTAGCTAAGCATTATCGATTCCAGATGGGTTATCGTCTCCAAGAGATGGAAACACGATCCTGAAACCAAAATCCTTCTCGAAGAGCTCAACCACTGCACTGTTGTAGCTGTCTCGTAATTTAGTGCTGGCAGCGCATTATTCCGGATTCAAAGCCAACACAGTCCTCATACAGGGGATCTGGATGAGTTGTTCAAAGTTGTCCGATATTAATGAAAGAGCAAGGATGTTCGACCAACGTGCCGATAGCCCATGCGGGGCCAGCCTTCGAAGGAAGCGTGCGAATCCAGAATAGGTAAAAGACATGAGCTATCGATGCGCATACCCAGCTAGCTATCTAGGTAGCTAGTGACATGCTGACAAGGATTAGGTTAGTAGTGCTGTCAAATTGCTTGTGCGCAACGCCGCTGCCTGATCCGATCGCAGGCAACAACATTCAATTCAGGCCTTCGACAGGCCTAGAACTGCCTGGGGCTGCAGACGCATTGCCAGGAATCATCATCCCTGTTGCAAACGACGAGACACTCCGTCGACAGTTCTCGTGAAGGAGAATAACGAACAGTCGAAGACGATGACGACGAACGGAGAAGACCGAGCAAGGAGGCTAATCCGAGTCGGGCAGTCTTTCCTTGCCGGTGCCCCCACCGTTGATGATTTTACATTATCGCAACTCGGCACGGAGAGAACTTTCGGCTTGTCGCAGCCCGATCCGAGACGGAGTCGGGACAACTAATGCTTCGTTTCCAGTTTTTCACCCTCGTCAGGATGTCATTATTCAATCGGGTACCTACCTACGTGGACCAGCGATGAGCCACACTGCCTGCCCCGCGGTTTGACGTCAAGATTGATATCCTCAGACGGCCTGTGTACCAGCTATGTATGTAATACTGCCTCGTTACTAAGATTAGTGAATCTCATACCTCCCTAATTCTCGATTAAGCTTTTAGTTTAGGCTGAAGAATTATCAATCAATCACTCCGTCTCCGAGATCCGATTCCCGAGTTGCGAGCGGACCGGACTCTTGGACTGATTCGCTGGTCCGTTACGGAGTATAGCAGGAAGAAAACATGGCTTTTTTTTAAGCTTCTTTTCTTTGCTGGCTGTGCTTGGGATTGATAGTAATTATCGGGGGGAGTACTGTACTCTACGTACAGTACATATCGCGAGTTAACAAACGGACTCAATTGAAGTCTGTCGAGTCCGACAGACAAATGGATATTTAATTAAATTTATTCATCTCTCTTCCCTCTGTTGCCACTCGTTCGTTTTTTCTCTCTCTCTCTCTCTCAATTTTGTATCTTCATTCTCTATCCGTTGTCTGATAAGGATTTCAACTTTCTTGCCGGAAATAAATAATCCATTGCCTATCTATCTAGCTTATTCAGCACCCAACATGTCAACAGCAGCAGCTACCAACACCGCGCAGCTTAAACACCAGCTGGGAGAGACCTGCCACCCTTACATCGAGGGCATCAATCCGCCCTATAACTATATTCCCTCGCTGGCTGCCGGGATTGTCTTCTGTGTGCTCTTCGGCCTCTCGGGGGCGGTACATGTTGTGCAGTTCGTCTGGACGAAGAAATGGTGGTGTTCGCTCTTCACGATCGGATGCATAGGTGAGTTTTTTTTTTCTTTCTCTGCGATATAGGAATTTTTTTTTTCGTCCTTATCATCCCACTAATAATGGTTTGTTGTAGTGGAAGTATTAGGATGGGCGGCCCGGGCATGGTCCTCCCAATGCCCATATAGATTGACGGCGTTCCTCATGCAGATATCCACTCTCATCATCGGTAGGAAGATCGTTCGATCCCGATCGTATATCTCTCTGGACACTTGGGCTGACTTCGTCCAGCGCCAACGTTCTTTACCGCCGGCATCTATGTCTTGCTCGGCCGTTTCATCGTCCTTCTAGGACGCCAGTCGTCCATCCTCAGCCCGGCGCTCTACCTGTGGATCTTCTGCACCTGCGATATCATCTCGCTGGTGATCCAGGCTATCGGCGGAGGGATGGCGTCGCAGGCCGCGGGCGAGATCAACGGCAACACGAAGCCCGGCACGGACGTCATGGTGGCCGGCATCGTGTTCCAGATGGGCTCGATCACCATCTTCGTGCTCTGCGCGGCCGATTTCCTGCGGCGGGTGATACGGCAGAACCTGCTGCACACGATGCGCGGCACGATGCTGCCGCTGCTGTACGCCATGGTCTTCTCCGTGCTCTGCATCTACATCCGGAGCATCTACCGGACCATCGAGCTGCTGCAGGGCTGGAGCGGCTACCTCATCTCGACGCAACGGTACTTCATCGCGCTCGACGGCTCCATGATGGTGGCCGCCGTCGCCGTGTTCAACTTCATCCACCCGGGCTGGTTCATGCCCCGGAAAAAGGACATCGACTTTCATGAGCCGGGGGTGAATTTGGCATAGAAGGGAACGTAAAAAGAGGCTATCCATATTGCAATCCACGAACATAACCCTAATATATAGACGTATATAAATAAATACCATCCTTGTCTCCTGTTTTTTTTTTGGAAAACGTCTTGTCGATAGAACACAAAACAAGATTCTCCAGTCCAACATCACTTTCGATCGTAGTCATTTTGTTTGTAAGCTCATATAAAACGCCTTGCTAAACGTTGAAACAATAACCGGAAAACCAAAAGAATAAATATCGAGTGTAAAAGACTGGGATTGGCCATCGCGTTAAAAAGAAAGGCCAAGAGTATACACAAGACAATCGAAAAAATTGACTGGCGACGTGATCTTTCTGCCTAAAGCGAACTCTTCCTGCTTCTTCGAAGCGGTCTGGTCATCTCTTCCCACTATCCCTCGTAACCGAAATCATACGGCATGTCGGAACATTTCCGACCCTTTGTAGGTTACGCTGAAAACCCGCCTCTTAAGTATCGATATATCAACACACTCCTAGCACCTCCATCTGGTAAAGCTACCTAGCTTCATCGCCTCATACTCCAGGTACAGCTTCGATCCAGCCAAACATTAATCCAATAGTCAGCTGTGCCGCGGCCCAGATGGCTCCCCATCCCGCCGAACCTTGCACATCAACACCCTTTATCGTCCCGGACACCTGAACAATTGTGTTCAGCAAGGTAACTGCTGCCAGAAGCACTGTGCGAGTGATGAGGATCCTCGTCTTTCGCGACAGCGTTCCCCACGTCCGATTGTACACTGACGTGATGAGATATTCGCCCTGGCGGTCGGCAACGGCAGACTGCTCTTTTGAAGATGGAGATTTCTCTTCTGCGGACCATCCGGCGGAGCTGACAAAAAGAAGATCCCGCGCAGCATAACCCTCGACTAGGAGACTCAAAAACAAACCGGGCAGCCCTGCAGGTCCAGCATGCACCACCCGGATATCGGGAATGTCCTCAAAGTGCGTGACTAGAAACGCAGGCAGCCATGTGTAGTAGCTGAGATACAGAAACACCGAGAAGATCGCAGATGCCGCGACAGAAGTATAGATACTCGTCAGACGATCTTGGAGAATGCCGTGGTTTGAGACGGATTCGGACCGGGCGCCGGAGAGACTGTGTACCGAGCTGGGCCGGCGGAGGAGCATGAACGGGACAGTCATGGATAGGATGTCTATCGTGAAGGATGTGACGATAGTTGTCGGCCGGACTCCATAGAAGTGAAGCAGCAAGAAGAAGGTTGGCACGTGGGTGAGCAGGGTAAAGAAGAACACATCTCGTCCTATCCCGCCAGCAGCGTCAGTAAAAGCACAGTCGAACACAACCAATCTCTCCCATCAGATCTCACCGTCAAATCCCGCAATCCACGCCAGTCCCAGCTCAACTGCCCTCCATGCTATCAGGCCGCCCACTTCCCACCAGTTCTCGAGGTGCTTGCTCACGGACGACAGATCGCCAACGGTGATCGCGGAGGTGAGCGTGAAAAGAGCAGAACTCAAGACCAGGCTGCTCAGAACCAGAAGGCCGAATCTGGCCGGTGAAGGAATCTTCTCGCGTGTACAACTTAACTGCGACGATACATCCGGGACACTGGGCGCTTTGCGACTCGGCCGGCGGGGGGACCCTTCCGAGGGCGTTGTTCTCTTAGGACTCGACATTGCTGACCGTAGCTATCTTCCGACTTTCGAGCTTTATCCGAATAAGAATCCGAGCGTGACTCTGTTGCAATGTGCGTGATGGGGTAAGGAGATGACGAGGAGGGAGGGCCAGACCCATTCGCGGGTCATCTCAAGTTGCGTCGCGCGTGTTTTTTTGCCATTCGAGGCGTTTGTTGATGGTTGGATGATGTCACTGGCAGCCGCCCCGAAAGCGGAAAGCGCCGTCCAGCACTAAGGCGAGCCATCCCTTGGAAGCAATCTCCGAGATCAAAGGTTACTGTATGTACACTGCAGCATTAAGTAATTTATCGCAAAGCGCGTGATACGCCTACAATAAGCTCTATACGACGCGATGACCGTCTATTTAGTCCTCATCCTTGTCTTTGTCCTCTTTCTCCGCCACAGAGAACTCAATAGTCCCTGATTCTCGGCCTCGAGGATCGCGCACAACGATCCGGTACTTGCCCTGGTCCCAGAGGTCCTTGAGCGTGACCTCCCGGGTCCTTCCCAAGCTCTCAATGGCTGAAATACGGTCCAGAGTCTTTTCAAGATGCTCCTCAAAACCGGGCTGCGAGCAGATCTCCCGAAACGCGTTTTGCATGGGAACCGAGTCAGCCCGAACCATGGCCTTGGAGTCGATCGTAAAGATGTTGTCGTGGTCGTAGCTTTGGATGAAGTCGGCTCTCGTCATCACCTGTCGCGCTTCGTGCAGCGGCATCTGCGGCAGAATGTGGCCAATCTCCGGATCATAGGTCTTTTCCATCTCCTTCTCGCGATCGACAAGGGCTTTTGCGAGAACCATAGCGGCAGACTGTGATGGTATCAGCTACATAGCCTTCTAGAATGAGAGGGAATAACGTACGGAGTATTTCTGTTCGTCCATCACATCGTCATCCATATCCTCTCCTAAAATCCAGCATCGATTGAGAAACCAGGTCTTCTCGGTCTCGCATATGTGATCGCACATCTTCATCATGTCTTCTGACTTTGCGACTCGGTTCAGAAATGACAGCCGCCCGCCGACTTTATCATAGACCTTCTCCAGGATGTCTCTGGGAACGTCCTCTCCACGATATTGTTTCCGGAACCGATGAAGCGCTGCCATGGCTTTCTGTTTGGGTAGATCGAGAACAGGTATGACTTCCATGCGTGTCGCATATCTTTTGAGCCGCTCGTATACCCAGTAATCGTCACTATTAAAGACTGATATCATTTAGTGTCTGCAAAACAAACCGAATTGGTTTGAAGTCATCTTACTCATCGTGACAAGATTGCTGGCAGCCCATTGCTCCGCTCGTTGCTGCATCATTTCGAGAAGATCTCGGCCGTCCTCGTCATCCCTCACCAAATGGGTGCTGTTAATAATGAGGATCAAAGGCCGCTCGCCTTTCTGTCGTCTTCGGAGCGCCACCTTTTCAAGCTTGTTAAACGCCCGCTCGATGTCGAGAAGAGCCGTGGTGTCGCGGGGTCCCTTGATGCTGAAAAGGCTGCCGATGTAACTGTAAAAAGTGTATGAGGATGCCGGCCTTCAAAACTCCAACTGAATCAAGAGATCACATACTCTTCATGAAACTCAAAGTCCAACGCCTTTCCTAGTCGTATTCGAAAAATTTCCAAATCGGCGTGGGCTTCAACCATGGCAATGCTTTCTCCGTTGGTCTTGCGCATAGCGTTCAAGAGCATAGACGTCTTGCCCGTGCCCTTCTCGCCGATCAGAAGGTAGTATTGACCTTTGATGGCTCCGCTCATGATGCGGTCGATCTTCTCTTGCTCTTCTCGCACGACCCAATGTTCCGTGTCCAGACGCTTTTCTTCATCGGGGCTTACACCAGCAATCTCAAGGGCAGGATCACCCGGCTTGAAGGCATTATCTATTTTCTCTAAGATGAGATACTTATAGTACCGATGGTACGAATATCCCGCAATCCTGCCCTGAGGTTAGCGCCAAAACCAAGAACGAGAAACGGTTGTACTTCGCACCCAAGAACGGCGATGGAAGCAAATGTGGTTGCAGCTGACTCGAGCATTTTCAGAATGGTCGATCTAAAGTTCGGCTCCGAGTCGGCATTTTTGCCTTTCCCTCCCTCGTCTTCTGCGCCAGCTTGATCCACAATGTCCTGGCCTTGAGGGGGGCTTGCACCCTGCGGGATATTTGAGAAACGTCTTACGGAGTAAGACGGGACTGATCTGGGGCAACGCCTTGTGACATAACGTCTTCCCAAGTTGGAAACTAGAGACTTCCGGATAATAGCTTGTGAATGCATGGTTATTTCCTGATGTCTGTTGAAGCTACTGCAATTTGGAGTGCTTCAAGTAGTGGCGTCTCTGGCCAAACACATGCAAAATCCCAATCCTTGAAAAGAAAGAGAAAAGATAAATGGACCAAGTCAATCAGGGAAAGAAGAACGACCAGTTGTCTAGGATAGTATTTGTGAATTTGGCAGCCTGGTGAGGCGGGCTGACGACCGCCCGCTGTGTCGTCCAGTACAAAAAAAGGGAAGAAATTAAAAGGAGCGACTTGAATCAATTGTTTGATTTATTTTAATATTTGGTTATTACAAGAAGCTAAGGAGTGGAAAAAAAGGCGAAATATCCATGAATGTACTCCGGAGTGGTTTTGGATACTCAGAGCCTGAGCCAGCTGTCCGCTGCAACTTGGCCAGCTTGGTTATTACCGGAGGTGGCTTGGCTCGGGACGGGGAGCTTTTACGCAGACAAAAACCAAACTGTCGGCAGGACGCTCAAGCCCTGCCGCCAAGTCATTGTGCTCACACGACAGTCAGCGACACAATAGTAATTAACAGGTCGAGATTTCTACTCCAACTGAGTTGGTCGAACTAGTGACATTTCTGGACTCGAGAAGAAAGCATTCCCCTAGAGAGATTGACGAGTCATATTCTAGAGAAAAGGAAAAAAAAATCAACAAGGACCGAAGAGGCTAGTTGGCGATAAGGTTCTTCCATCCCCAACTCATCCCCAAGGAGCTTGGACGATTTAATTAGTAGCTCGGATTTGTTGGCTAGTCAAGACGCCATTTTATCGACATGCTCCGTATTTTGCTATGAGTACGACGCAACACTCCAACCAAGTAGTTGAAGACAGTCTTGAATTATTATAAGAAATTTACCATAAATGCATTAGAGGGAATTTTTGTTACTGTATCGTCCTTATCGCTGGTTATCCCTGTTGTCTTTTTGCCACATTCTTGCTGATAATGCCTTTCGATTCTCACTGTAAACCAAAACAATAAACCACACCATCTGTTCATATTATACATCGAAGCGATAGGACTGGAATAATGTCACAAAGAATATAGATAAAGCAGATCCTTAAATGAATCCAGATACTCGGATAACATGCCGTACAGCACAGCTGGCGTTCCCGGGGCAGTCGGAGGACGTCATGTGGAGATCCACGGCTCGAGTCCTTTGCCCCGACCAGTAGCCGCCCGAGGACTTCCGATACATTTCCCGGCCCGCGTCCGCGAAATTTTTCTCTTGAACCTGGTTACAATCTCCAGAACTTCGCCCGTGCCTTTATTCTTATTTTCTTTCTTTCTCGTCGTGCTGAATTCCTGGGGTCCGGGGGGATTGGTTTCCTTTCGATTACCTATCTTTGTTCTGCATTCCTCCGTGCGCCCGTTCGCCAATTCCGTGTGTCGCTCTTGGAACAGCTGTCACTCCTTCCATAGTCTGGTTCGCTGCCTCGGATTGTTTCCCCAGCTCTAATGGAGTCACGCAATGGAGAATTGGAGCACTCGAAAGGTTAGTCGCTCTGTCCCTGGTGCTACAAAGCATGCGAAGAGACCCAAGTGTGCGTCGACTGTCCATCCGGCTTGCTAAGAATTGCTACTTGCAGAGGCTCCCCAATCCCAGCCAGAAGAGAAGCTCACGAATGGAGATCATGCCGAGGAAGGGCGTGAGGAGGACCAAAATGGAGGAGGTATCTGAACATTGTCCACTCCCGCGTGTTGTTCTCTTGCGGTCGTCTTTGGCTGACGGATGCGCTCTCTGCAGGGGTCTTTCAGATTTCCGTGAAGCTTCCCCATGAGCCTTACAAGATCCAGGTGATGGTAAATTTGGACTCCCAATCGTGATATCTACATGAGAGGTCTCCTAATGTCTATTCCGTGTCCAGGTATCAAGCCAGGAACAGGTTCAGGATGTCCGCCAGTCCATCGTCGAACTGCCTGGCACGTTCCAATACACTTGCTTCCATCTGGAATTCAACGGGCAACGTATCAACGACTTCGTTGAGTTGTCTGAAGTGAAGGGCCTCAAGGCAGACTCGGAGATAGTTTTGGTGGAGGATCCATACACCGAAAAGGAGGCTCGGATGCATGTTATCCGGATCAGAGAGCTAATCGGCGCGGCCGGCGACCGAGTGGACAACCTGCATGGCATCTCTGCTGGCTTGTCGCTCCACGACTCGGTCGCGAGCGAAGAGGCCAATGGCAAGGAGCATCCTCTTGCCGGCTATGATGTGAACGCTCCCGGTTCTCTAGACACGATCCTGCCACGTGCCCAGACTCCGCCTCCCAAGACTGTCAAGTCCATATCTCTTTCTCCTTGGAACCCCCCGCCATACCACCTCCGTCAGAAAGGCCATCTCCTATATCTGCAGGTGACCACGAACGAAGGGGAGCAATTCCAAATCACTTCCCACGTTTCGGGCTTTTACGTCAATAAATGCTCGAACAGCAAATTCGACCCTTTCCCCCGCCCACCTCCCAAGAACTACAGTGCCCATTCCCTGCTCAACTTGATCGCTCAGCTGTCACCCTCCTTTAACAGCGCATTCCGGGCATTGCAGGAGTCGAACAACAAGCGCGATCTCCTCACGACCTTCCCTTTCCAAAATGCTATACCCAACAGCCCCTGGTTGGTACCACAGACTGCATCTGCGCTGCAAACCCATCAGCCTGATGTCGCTCGATCCCAAGAGAATTTCTTAATATCAGGCGTGGATAACTCGGAGACCCTCCGTGACTGGAACGAGGAGTTCCAAACCACCAGGGAGCTGCCTCGCGATGCTGTTCAGGACCGAGTTTTCCGGGAGCGGCTGACGTCGAAGCTGTTTGCTGATTATAATGATGCTGCTGCGCGAGGCGCTGTGTTGGTGGCGAGGGGTGAGGTCGCCCCGTTGAATCCCACCGAGGGCAGAGACGCCCAGATTTTTGTGTATAATAACATCTTCTACTCTTTCGGTGCGGACGGTGTGGGAACGTTCGCTTCGGAAGGCGGCGACGAAGCTGCTCGCGTGGCTGTTGGGAAAGATGTCCTTGGTATCAAGGCAGTCAATCAGCTCGATATCCCGGGCCTTTTCACCCCAGGAACCGTTGTGGTTGACTACCTCGGGAAGCGCATAGTGGGCCAGAGTATCGTGCCTGGTATCTTCAAGCAACGGGAGCCTGGGGAGCACCAGATTGACTACGGTGGTGTCGAAGGCAAAGAGGTCGTGGCCGAGCACCCTGACTTTGTCCCTGTATTTGAGAAGCTTTCTAAGGCTCTGCGGGTGAAGAAGCACCCTGTCTGGGATAAAGAGGGTAAACGCCATGATCTTGAGGGCAGTGTCGAGACGAAAGGATTGCTAGGAACGGACGGCCGGAAATATGTCCTGGACTTGTACCGTATCACCCCTCTCGATGTGCTGTGGCAAGAAGATGAGGGGAATGAAAACTACCCCCATCGCATGTCGGTTCTTCGCCTCGAGTTGGTTGAATCGTACTGGAGGTACAAGATGAGCCAGTACGTCCGGGAGGAAGTCGAGCGGCGTCGAAAGAAGAAGGCTGAAGAGAAAGCCGCGACGAACGAAGACAAGCCAGAAGATGGCGAGTCCAAAGACCAGGCTGCCGAGAAGAGCGAGGAAGCACTTGAGCAGGAGAGAATTGATATCTCTGGTTTCAACCTTGCGCTCAACCCCGATGTCTTCAGTGGCCAGGTTCCCCAGACCGAGGAAGAAAAGGCGGAGTGGGCGCAGGATGAGAAAGAAGTTCGCAGTGCTTGTGACTACCTGAGGTCCAAGGTTCTTCCCGAGCTGATCCAGGACCTCCATGACGGAGATGTCGGCTTCCCAATGGATGGACAGTCTCTCAGCCAACTCCTTCACAAGCGTGGTATTAACATCCGATACCTGGGTAGATTGGCGGAGATGTCCCGGGAGAAGGGCCACCGGCTGCACGCTTTAACCGTTCTGGTGATCCAGGAAATGATTGCTCGTGCATTCAAGCATATCGCGAACCGTTACCTTCGCCACTTGCCTCATCCTTTTGCAGCTTCCTGCATTTCTCACCTGCTGAACTGTCTTCTTGGAACGGAAGTTAATCCAAAGCCACAGCCAGACATTGACGAATCTCTTCGGGCGATCTATCCCGAAAGCGATTTCTCTTTTGAAACTGTTGACCCGGAAACTCTCAGGGCAGAGATTGAGAAGCAGGTCAAGATCAGATATCGATTCACACTTGACTCTGACTGGAGCAGCTCTTTGAGGCACTTGCAACTGCTCCGTGACATTGCCATCAAACTTGGCCTTCAGCTGGGCGCTCGGGAATTTGTGTTCAAGCCCCAGACCCCGGAACCCTCTGCAACTGAGAATGGTGTTAACGGAACTGGCCATGAGGAGACAAGCAAGAAGAAGAAGAGGAAGGCGGGCGAGAAGGCGGGTGATAACGCTTCCCCGACTCGCACGGCGGCTGCTAAACCTGCCACCACATTTGTGCCAGATGATATCGTGAACATCGTTCCCTTGGTCAAGGATGCTGCGCCGAGAAGCGCTCTTGCCGAGGAGGCTCTGGAAGCGGGACGTATCTCTTTGATGCAGAACCAGAAGCAACTTGGCCAAGAGCTCATCTTGGAATCCCTGTCCTTGCACGAGCAAATTTACGGTATTCTCCATCCGGAAGTTGCCAAGCTGTACCATCAGCTCTCGATGCTGTACTATCAAACGGATGAAAAGGATGCTGCCGTGGAACTGGCCCGGAAGGCGGTCATTGTCACTGAACGCACATTGGGTGTCGACTCGGCAGACACTATCCTGAGCTATCTCAATCTCAGCCTCTTCGAGCACGCTACAGGAAATACTAAGATGGCGTTGGTCTACGTCAAGCATGCCATGGATCTCTGGAAGATTATCTATGGGCCCAACCACCCCGATTCCATCACCACCATGAACAACGCTGCTGTCATGCTGCAACACCTCAAGCAGTATCCAGACTCCCGCAAGTGGTTCGAGTATTCTCTTGCTGTTTGCGAGGAACTCTTTGGAAGGCAGTCAGTCAACACGGCAACAATCTTGTTCCAGCTTGCCCAAGCGCTGGCCCTGGACCAGGACTCCAAGGGTGCTGTGAACCGCATGCGTGACGCCTACAACATCTTCCTGAACGAGCTTGGACCGAATGACCGCAACACTAAGGAAGCTGAAAGCTGGCTCGAGCAGCTCACTCAGAATGCCGTCTCTATCGCGAAGCATGCCAAGGACATCCAGGCTCGCAGACTCCGGAGGGCCAATCTCAGCACGCGTGTTTCGCTGGGGACCAGGCCTCAGCCCCAGGTTGGCCAGTCGGCACAAGGAGGTGCCAACGGGAAGGACACGAACAACAATGCCCCGCAATTAGATACCCGAAGCATCGACGAACTGCTGAAGTTCATTGAGGGAGGCGACTCCAGCACTCCACGGAAACAGAAGAAACGTGGCACTGCAAATCCGAAACTCAGGGGCTCCAAGCAGTCGTCGGCTAAGTGAGCGTGTTTTTTTTTCTTTCTCCCCAGTCTGTATCATATAAAAAGATGCTTGTTTTTCGTTGAATATTCAAATCTGTGTTAACAGTGAAATCTTATATGCATGGCGTGATTTGATTCCTGGCGGGTTAGATGACCACGGTCGGCTGGACGCGGGGAATGTATACTATATTGTAAGCATCTCTACTCCTTTTTTTTGTTTTGTTTCTGGGAAATTTGGCTCTGCCATACCTGGAGATCTGCATCAGCAACGGCTGTGCCTTACGTTTATGTCTATTTGATGATGAGACTCGAGTTCGACGCATACAAGAGCACGATGTTTCTGAAGCACGTCCTGTATGTATTATTAGCGTCACGTGTTTCTTGATTCGACATTCTTGGAATTGATTTTCAGGACCTCTCGAGGACACGGCACGGTATGACTTATGTAGACAAGAGCATTATTATGATTGTGTATAGCCCAAACAGCAGTGTTAGCTATTGAGTTTCTCGTGTCCCCAGTTCCGGGTTGCTAAGCCACACACCAGCCACGGCACTTCAGGGCCGGCGCCGCACCTGCTCCATTCGGCTAGGCAGGTACCCGAATCCCTGTGGCGCATGAACCAATCGGCAGGCGCGATCCGCCGGAGAAGCTCCATTGGCTCCCGTCGCATGTTTACATTTCCAAGGTTTGCACGCCTCTCTGCCATTTGAACGGCGCATACAGTCCTCTCCTCCTGTATCTCAATGCAAGCATTCATAGCTCTTTTGGCCGCATTCGAATTGGTATAATTTATTGTCGATAGAGATACTACTCGCATACCAATCCCAATAACGAGCCACTCCTGGCGGCGTCGCGCCTGGAAGCTGTTTTTGTTAACGATGGACCGTTCGTGACTCCCCGCCTGGAACGAATCAAGTCTGAATTGTCCAGTATGAGCTGTCGTTTCGTCGATCTGCAGAAATCGCGAAGCTGATTCGTTCTATTTTGTCTTGTTTTTCTTCACAGTTCGCGCCACTTCCCCTGCTTGATCTCTCCCGACATGGATGATGTTTACGCGACAGCGAGATGGGGCAATCGGGTGTTACGACCGTTGACCTCGCTCTACCATCGTCTCGGAAAATATCGAGAGATCCAGTCGCTTGATTTATCTCAGCAGAAATCGAACGACGAGCTCGATACGCGTACGGCGCCTGGTCGCGCATTGCCTAGGAGAACGGATAATCGCGACATTTTCTCTGATTCCGAATGCGGCGGCGACGATCCATCATGGGTGCCGGGGAAAACGGACAACAAGCGACGCATCAAACACAAGTATGTTATCCGTGGAGAGAAGAATCGAGGCAGACGCCGCATCAGGTCGGTCCTGCGCAGTCCCGAAGTGCAAAAAACGTTGCCCGGTGCGATCGAGATCGCTACGCCATTGATCACGGGAAAGACAACGGATAAGCTGGCGCAGATAAGGGAAGAGGTTGAGTCGGAACGTTCTCAACGAGCAGAAAGTGGGAGGAGCCTGTCTCTTTCTCCTGACCGATCACAGCAACTAAAAGTGTCAGAGAAGAGGAGCAGGCTACTGAAACAGTCTAGGTTCTTTCAACATGACAGTCTGTGGAAGGCATCATTGGACTCATCAAACGATGCTAATTACATCGATATTGTTCGCCGCCTCGACCGCATGTTTCTTAATTTTTTGGAAAAGACGCGTCTCTCGGATTCTCATCATGCTAGCGGCAAGGCTCGGTCACTTTTGTCGACTGTGATGCGCCGTCTTCCAGAATTCATAGCCGAGGAACAGAGGCTGCATGATGAATCGGACGGCGAGGAGGAGGTAGACATGGCGGACGCATACTTCACGGAGCTGGAGTTGGCCTACGGTTCCAGTACTAAGGGGTGGCTGCCACTTCGCGAAGCTGTGCGCGCCCAAGGGATCTACCTGGTTTCGGACATGATCAAGGAAAGATGGGTCACTCATCTTACAGCATTGAGTCTAATAGAAAAGTGTATACACGCTGGAGAGTATGACGCTGTCGAGACGCTCCTGTCAAACCAGCTGCATGCGATCAATCACTACGGTTATCCGGATGCATTCGATCCTTGGAGATCAGTTGAGTTGGGCCGCGATCCAGTGAAGATTTTGCATAACTATTGGATATCATCTCGACATAACTCATATGTTTTTGACGAGCTGGGTAAACTGCTGCTCCGTGGAGCGATCCCTCCGGAGTGGATGGTGACGACTCCTTGGAAGAGCTGCATGGCTTCTGCGACCAGCTCGCTGTCAAAAGACGATCAGGATTCCGCAGCAGCAACACGGCTGATCGAAGCGGTGATTCTTTCAGCGTGTGGCATTTACGAAAAGATGGGTACTTCGGCGATAGGGACGCGTCCGCATTCTCGTCGCCATTCCGCCCAGCGAGACACTCGTTCTGCTGCATCAACGGGATATGACCCTCAGGCTGGCCATGTACCGTGCCCCGTATACATACAGGACGCTCTCAGTAATCTGATTGCTAGTCTTATCACCGCCCTCTGTGGCATGCACTTTGTTCGGGCTGATGATCCTTCAGCGGATGAGGCTCGGTTCAGTGCGAGAATGGGGAACCTGCTCAAAGGATTGGCCCTCATGGTTCAGCGTGAAATCGAACTTCGACCTCCTGGTCGCAAGGACAACATTCCGATATTTCACTCTCTTCGAAGAGGCTATGTTCTTCTGGGGAGCTACCTGTTACTATGTGGCCCTCTCAGCCAGCAATCGGGCCCTCAGAGTTCGGATATTATTATCACAGAGCGTCTGGGTTCTTTCCTCTGGTCCCTGTGCGGCCAGGCGGAAATAATCAAGGAGCTGTCAGCTCTAGTCGGCCAGGTTGTACGCTGCTGCGAAAGAGGGGGCGAACGAGAGCAAAGCCATAGAACTCGACAGTTTTGTTCGAAGTTTCTGCAGTTCGAGCCGCATGGCAGGGACAATCTTTCGTTGTTCCTGGGTAAGATTGCGGTTGAAGTTGCGATGTATTTTGCGCAGTTGACCCAGGATCCAGACGATCATGCATGGGCCGCGGACGTACAGGAGACGGTCGCCGCTGCCCAGCGTCGTTCTTCTTTCTGTGACAGTGACGATTCCAATTCTCACACTACGGATCACGATGTGCGGCCCTTTAGATGGGAAGAAAGTATCGGCGAATGGGTTGCGAGCACACCTGTCCGAACCAAAGTTGCGCAGTCGAACGTCCTGCCGAAGCCAATGGTCATAGTCCCCGACCCATTGTCGTCTCCTGGTCAGCCGTCCAGCACCAGTGAAGAAGAGTCTTCTTCATCTGAGGATCACGTCTCCAGCATCACCTCGTCCGTTCCTTCTTCAACTTTAAAGAGGACTGAGCGCGATTGCGACACGCCCACTCGAATGCAGAAAAGAGCTCGAGGCATGTCCGGAACGCGATCCCAACAATCTCCCCAGTTGGTACGGGAGCCTGGCTGCGTACCGGATTTTCCTGGTGATAGAGCAGAGCGTAGAACTCACGTGCCGGACTCGGTATGCAGTGATGATTCTTTCGACGAATTGACGACGTCTAGCGTTCCGACCAGGCCCTGCCTCGACCAGAGCTCGTCAGGCGAAAAGACGTCCAACCTGTTTCTGGGCCAGGAACCGGACTCCCGTCGGAGTTCAAACGTTGCGGTGGTTATCGTCAACCCCAACGGATCTGACTTGGCACCAGCGCCAGCAACAGATCGTCGTGGGCGTAGCCACTCTCACAGCCAGGCGCCTGTCAAGCCACCCAGGACAGTGATGGCCCCCAGGTTACCACAGCACCGAGCTCTCGTGATCCCCTGTTCTGAAGACGAAGAGAGTGAGGACGAGCTTAGTTTTCTTTGAAGGATGTCCTGCTCCACGGATCGGAGTCAATAGCGTGGTTTAGACTGCGCTAACTTTTAAGAGCAATGACCACCTATTGTATTTGGGACATTTTTTTTCTTTTTCTTTCCTTTCATTTTTCCTCCTTTTTTTTTTTCCTTGGTAAATTTTTCTTGGTCCTTACAGCCCTGCATTTCGAAGCACAAGCGGAGTTTGCATCATTTCTCTTCCTGTCTGTTTGGGTACGAGTTTTGGCAAGAGGATATTGACGGAGTCATGATACCCCGGGGACTAAGTTTATTGCTCGGATTGGGTTTCTTTGTATGTACTGTACAAGAGGTAATTTACTTGTCTATTCTGCTAGGTAGAGCATATTTGTCCTGATGACGAAGGCAGACTGGAGTACAAATTTCGAACGGACGGGGCTAGTTCTTGAATGGAAGGATTAACCCTGTTCGCCTCGGGATGCAATGTGCAATAATAAATATTTCTGCTTCTGCGATCAGTTTGCCAGGAGGGGGCATCTTGAATATTCGCCGGGGGCGGCTCTGAGTCACGCGATCCCACCCGTTGAGACGGTGGCTACAGCATTCGTCTGACAGCGTTCATACTTCAGTCGAATGTGGAGGCAAACAGTATTTCTGTTGCTTATGAAGAATATGTGCTCTTTAGCCCTTTTTCTATTGTTTTCCCTATTCTGTGTTTTTTGTCGTCTGGATTCATGTTCTAGAAGGTCCACGTGAGGCTTCCTCCACCGATCTGTGCTGAGATAGGATATGATAGTATTGGCTGGCGCGTACCGTCGACATGGGATGGGTGCGACGCTGCTTTGAGAGGTGCCTTTGCCAGCTGCTTGGCAAGTCTTGGGTTATCTACCGTGGAGATGGCAGGGTAGCATGGCAGGATAAGGACTGCTGTAGGGTTGTAACGAGACGATTATGATGAGTCCTCAGTTCTGGAATTATTTTAATTTATTATTAATGAGCGAGAATAAGAATTGACACTTGATGCTTGGCTCCATCTTGACGCTTTGATTACGGGGACAGCTGGCGCCATCCGGGAGGGGTCGATGTGCCGCGGTTGGCCACGACGCGCTGGGCGATGCGTTCCTGAGGCTTGCTGCGTTTCAGCGTCCTGATCGGCGCCCTTGCAGAGGCCAATCTGCCTTTTGTGAGTTTTGCCTCCCCCGGCAGCTTGGGCCAACTTAAGTGACTGGTCCAGCCGTCCGTCTCCACCGCTGCGTTGCGAGCAATCCTACCCAAGGCGCTGTCTCCATCGGACGTAGATCGATCAGCTGCTGCGTCACCGTCTGTACGCAGTCGCTGGCGTGGCCAGCGCCGCCTGTCTGGCTGCTGGTCCCGTTTCAAGTTGATCGTCATTTCTTGTTTCTCTCCCAGATGACTGGCCTGGCGTAGCTTTATCCACATCCACTTCACCGTCCCCACTGCTCCATCATGCGTTGTCGTCGATACTACGGTTAATCAGTCTTCTCCCCAGCCCTTCCTTCACTTGCCCTCCTGGCCCTTCTTCCCCTTCTCTTCTCTCTTTTCTACCGTCCTCTGGCAGGTGACACTTTCTTTTTGCTTTATACGACACCAGCGGTCTTTTTTCGCCCCAATTCATTCTCTTCTTCTTTTCTTGGCCCTTCTGGCCTGATTATCATTCTCTATTTGCTTGCCGGTTTCTCTAAGTGGCTGGGCCCCCTTTACATTCCTTTCGTTGCCCTAACGAACCAATCTCGAGTCAAGCTCAGTTGATTCGCCAGGGCTATCACGTACGTCCTTTGCAGATAAACAAAAGAAGAAGACAGTCCCCTGGTTTGGGTCTTCGTTGAATGTCACCACGCTGAGCTTTTTTTTTTTTTTGCTTTTTGTCGCCGTGGTTGTTGCGCTTGCAGCCAGTCCTTCCACTATCTACTAGATCATCATCTCCTGCAGGGCTATCTGTCTCATATTGCAAGCAACCCAATCGCGTCGACCTTTCTTTGGCCGTGCTTGTTCGTGGCTTTTCCTTCATTTTCAAAGAGCTGGTCTCGTCCTGGCTGATCCTTTTCCCCTTCTTTTCGAATCCTGCAGCAAGCACAGTCTGGCACCATGAGTGCCTGCTATCTCTTGATCCCTCTTGCCGCTCTGGCAGTCGCTGCCCCGACAGGGAAAGCTGGTAGCGGTGCTAGTGGTGGTAGCAATGGCAGTGGTGGATCTCCAAAGAGTGCTGCTGGAGGGCAGGGGGGAGGTAGCAGTGATCAAGAAGCGTTCTACGACCGACTCCAACTCGACTACGCTCATCTCACCCTGGCGGTGATGGCCGCTGCGGCCGCTCTTTTCTTCCTGTGGCAGACGTCGATTCGCATCTCCGCCCACCTCAGACGCCTCACCAGTCTCAACAATGATACGCAGCGGTACTTTGCTCGAGGGGATTACCGGATGGCCTGGCTGAAGGAGCATATCATCTACGCCCCTCTGTTCCGCACTCGACACAACCGCGAATTCCAGCTGTCCCGTGCCGTCAGCATGGGCACCCTTCCGAGTCGTTTTCAGACAATCTGTCTCGCGGCCCTGGTGGCCCTCAATGTCACCCTCTGCGTCATTGAAACTCCCTTCGGTCAGTCCGAAAGTACCGTAGCCGGCATCATCAGGAATCGAACCGGCACCATGGCTACCGTCAACTTGATTCCGCTCGTCCTCCTGGCCGGTCGAAACAATCCCCTGATTCCTCTCCTGGGGTTGTCTTTCGATACCTTGAATTTCTTTCATCGTTGGCTCGCGCGCATTGTCGTCCTCGAGGCCATCGCCCATACCTTGTCCTGGATGATCCCCAAAGTTCAGCTCCGTAAGTTCTTATCATCCCCACGATTCGTATCGGTATGGAAACGCTAATATGACTCGACTTCTTGCGATAGAGGGCGGCTGGCCTACGATTGTGACTGAATTCCATGAAAGTTTTATGATCATTACCGGTTTGGTGGTACGTATCGTTGCGAGAAGGAACTTGAACCTTGCTCTCTAATTGCGATTAGGCTGTCTGTGGCTTTGTTGCTCTGGCCCTCCACTCTTTCTCTGCCTTGAGACATGCATTCTACGAAACGTTTCTCCACCTCCACATCGCGTTTGTGTTGACGGCTTTCATCGCTCTCTGGTACCACTTGCGTGAGAGACCACATCAAAACTTCCTGCTTGGTGCTCTGATCTTGTGGGGCCTCGAGGTAAGTGATCCCTTGGAACAAACGAGACGCAGCGTCACTCTGACCGTCATCAAGCGATTCACACGTTTCGTCATCATTATTGTCCGAAATCTGGGCAAGGGACGGACTACGGCCACAGTTGAAGCCCTGCCCGGCGATGCTATGCGGATCACCTTGAAGATGGCACGGCCGTGGCGGTTCAAGCCAGGTCAGCACCTGTACTTGTATATTCCATCAGTCGGACTGTGGACTTCGCATCCGTTCAGTGTGGCATGGAGTCAGCCGGAAGAACTGGTCACCGACGAAAAGGGCCTGGTGATGTCTCAGCAAGATCTGGCGCCTCTGCAGAAGGACACCATCTCCCTTCTTGTCCGCCGCCGGACCGGATTTACTGACAAGCTTTACAAACGCGCCGAGAAAGGCGTTGGCGGACGGATCTTGCTGACCGCGTTCGCCGAAGGACCGTATGGAGGCATTCACAATCTTGATTCCTACGGAACCCTTCTCTTGTTCGCGGCGGGTGTGGGCATCACGCATCATGTGCCGTTTGTACGCCATCTCGTTGCCGGATTCGCCGATGGCACCGTGGCCGCTCGTCGAGTCACCCTCGTGTGGATCATCCAGTCGCCGGAGCACCTTGAGTGGATTCGCCCCTGGATGACGACCATCCTTGGTATGGAGCGTCGACGCGAGGTTCTGCGCATCTTGCTCTTCATCACGCGGCCGCGGAACACCAAGGAGATCCACAGCCCGAGCGCCACGGTGCAGATGTTCCCCGGTCGGCCCAACACCGACACGTTGATCGACATGGAGATCGAGCACCAGATCGGCGCTATGGGAGTCATGGTCTGTGGCACCGGCAGCCTTGGCGACGATGTGCGCCGGGCATGTCGCAAGCGGCAGGCGATCAGCAACATCGATTTTATCGAAGAGAGCTTCTCCTGGTAGACCTGCAGCTGCTGTCTGCTTGAAGACAGACGGCGAGGAAGTGTTGATAATTAGATGTCAAGCTGGTCGCATGCTCCCAACTCCCTCCTTGGTATGATTCAAGCAATGTTCTTCTTTCTCAGGCTTTGTAATTCGACCTCATTGACCAGGTACTTTTCATTTTGTGGTTTTTTCCGGCTCGGGCACTGCACTTACATTGAAAGGGATGTTTTCTTCTATTACTATTTGTGGGACATGGAGTATATGTACATAGGTAGCCTTTCACTTTCGACGACCAGGGAGGGTAGACGTAGAAAGAAATGAAGAGAAGAAATTCTCGAACCAGCAATGACGATCTACAGTATTTCTTAGTGAAATTTTTTTTTAGCTCCTGTAACTCTGAATGAATGAATGAATGAATGAATGAATCAATCAATCAATCATGAAAGCCCGAAGCTGCTCGCCAACAGAGCCGACTCCTGACCCGTAGTCAGAGGTACCTACCTACCTAGTTAATGACGTTACTTACCTGCTAGGCCTATTCAAATTAGTAGGTAGTAGGTAATTAATAATCAATCCTCCCAATTCTAAAAGCAGCAACACAATCCCTAGCTAATGAGATCCACTTCCAGGCAGGCACCACTTCTCCCATTCGCGGAGGTTCTTGTGGGAGAACTGTGCGATTTGTCATTATTCACCTGATATTGATAGCGCTGTTATCGTAAGGGCGGCGAGGGGTTTGATTGCCTTGCCTATCCAGGATAATAATAGTCTGGCTTGAGGAGGGGTTGGAACCCCACACTTGCCCGCTATCGGCAGGTTTCAGTTCACTGGAAGCTAAAGGCTAGGATGATGTATGCTGTACGTATGTATGTACACATGTGTGTACATACATAGGTACATACATACCTAGGTACGTTCAAGTTGGTACACAGCGGTCAGTTTGAAAGGTTCATTGTACTGTATTTACTGGATGGATGGATAGATATGCCTCGTAACTAATTGGGTCCTCCCCACCCCTTACTGTGATAACATGAGCTCTGGTGGATTTGTCAGCTACGGAGACACGGAGACATTTTTCCCCTTCGGATGGATAGCAGAGCTTCAGTCAAGTGCCTATCGGATATACGTATATGTATTACATGCCCCGCATATAAAATGCACCTTCGTAATTGCGCATTGTTGAGCCGCTCTCTTCGTTCTTCGACAACAGCACCTCTTCTCTCCTCTCCTTGTCATAAGTCTCGAGCATACAGTACATTCACCACCATGAGTGGCCCCAAGACCCCTGATATTACCCTCTACACTGCCCAGACTCCCAATGGGATCAAGATCTCCATTGCGCTGGAGGAATTAGGGTGAGCTTGTTCTTCGAATCGAAGCGGCGGCTGTGTACCAAGCTATTATTGGGGTCGGGAGCTGACAATTTCCCGTTGGATTCAGGCTTCCGTATAAAGTTCACAAGATTGATATCAGCAAGGGCGTTCAGAAGGAGCCGTACGTATTTGGCCTAACCAGTTAGCCACATGGGAGGGAAATGGACTAGCTAACAATGGACCGCTACCCAGATGGTTCCTTGAAATCAACCCCAACGGACGCATCCCCGCGATTACGGACACGTTCGCAGACGGCCAGCAGATCCGCATCTTCGAGTCGGGAAGCATCCTGCAATACCTGGTCGACCAGTACGACAAGGACTACAAGATCTCGTACCCGCCCGGCACGCGCGAGTACTACGAGATGATCAACTGGCTGTTCTTCCAGAACGCGGGCGTGGGCCCCATGCAGGGCCAGGCGAACCACTTCAACCGCTACGCGCCCGAGCGCATCGAGTACGGCGTCAATCGCTACGTCAACGAGACGAGACGCCTCTACGGCGTCCTGGACAAGCACCTCGCCAACTCCAAGTCCGGGTACCTGGTCGGCGACCACGTCTCCATCGCGGACATCGCGCACTGGGGGTGGGTGACGGCCGCTGGCTGGGCGGGCGTCAACCTCGACGAGTTCCCCCATCTCAAGGCGTGGGAGGAGCGCATGCTGAGCCGGCCGGCTGTCGAGAAGGGTCGGCATGTGCCGGACCGCCACACCATCCGGGATATCCTCAAGAACGAGGAAGAGGCTAAGAAGCACGCTGCTGAGGGCGCGGCTTGGATTCAGAAGGGGATGGCAGAAGACGCGAAGAAATAAGACTCATGAAGCTCTGTTGATTCATTGATTCTGTCTGGAGCTATGCAAGTGAATAGGAACAGTACAGTACAATACATGTAGCATTAATTCACGCTGGAGATGATTTTAGAACCAACCTTATTGCGCATCCTATTCATTCTGAGAGAAAAAAATGATCTTGATTCGCATAATGCACTATGAATAATAGCATCGCATTTGCTAGATTCAATATTCGCAGACAAGTGATGTCTGTGATGCCCGAAGGCCTACCCAATCCGGCATAGCGCCCTTGACCTGCCCGACGGGTGAAGGGTCGGCCCACGTGATTGCCTCAAAAGCTTGCCACTTTGCTCCTTGAACTTCCACCCTTGCGATAAGGTCTCTTCTACTGACTCGTTTCTCACTTTCTTACTTCCCGTCTTCTCGCAACTAACCTCCTGCAAAGTCGCCCAGCTGGGGAAGATTCGCATACCATGGCTTGGCGCAACCAGGGAGTCACCGGCTCCAACAATGTCCCTCTGGGCAAGAGGCGATTCGGGGCCGACGATGAGGCTGCGAGCAACGCTTCCACGCCGACGCTCGCTCCCTCGGACGACAAGGAAGCCGCGCGAGGCCGGAGCCCTGTTCGAGGTATGTACAATAACTCATTCTTGCGATTTGTGTATACCTGATTTTGACTAACATCCTCTGCAGCAGATCCACCCCCCGACGGCGTGAAGAAGCGCAAGAAGCGCAACCGCTGGGGAGATGCGCAGGAGAACAAGGCGGCCGGTCTCATGGGCCTTCCTACCATGATCATGGCAAACTTCACCAGTGAGCAGCTCGAGGCTTACACCCTGCATCTTCGGATTGAGGAGATCAGCCAGAAGCTTCGTATCAACGATGTTGTCCCGGCCGATGGTGACAGGTTGGTCCCTCCATTCTTTCCCCTCCTTGTCCCGAAATTATTTTTTGGGGTATGGTTATGCTAACTCCTGCAGGTCGCCGTCACCCCCTCCGCAGTACGACAACTTCGGAAGACGTGTAAACACTAGGGAATACCGTTACCGCAAGCGCCTGGAAGATGAGCGCCACAAGCTCGTCGAGAAAGCCATGAAGATCATTCCTAACTACCACCCGCCTGCTGACTACAGGCGCCCTACTAAGACCCAGGAGAAGGTCTATGTTCCAGTGAATGACTATCCAGAGATTAACTTCAGTATGATCACTAACCCTCTAACCATCCTCTTTGAGTCGTTGCTTTTTATTATTCTCCCTTGTCTGTCCTTGCTCGATTCGAGCTGGAGAAACATCGGAATGACGATGATGTTTCCGCTCGTTTCTCGCTAACCCATTACCTCCTTGGCTCTTCTGCATTGCCCTGCTTTTGAGAATTGACACGTACTAACACTTAGCTCTTTCTTTGCTTCTTGCTAAAAGTTGGCTTACTGATCGGACCTCGTGGCAATACCCTCAAGAAAATGGAGGCCGAGTCCGGAGCCAAAATTGCAATCCGAGGCAAAGGCTCTGTTAAGGAAGGAAAAGGCCGATCTGACGCCGCTCACACTAGCAACCAGGAAGAAGATCTCCACTGTTTGATCATGGCAGATACAGAGGAAAAAGTCCAGAAGGCGAAGAAGCTGGTCCTTAACGTCATCGAAACCGTGCGCTTTCTCCCCCCCCGGTTCTCTTGCCTCCTTCATGGTCTAACAAAAAACTGTGTCTTAGGCTGCTTCAATCCCTGAGGGCCAGAACGAACTGAAGCGGAATCAGCTCCGTGAGCTTGCCGCCCTTAATGGTACCCTGCGCGATGATGAGAACCAGGCTTGCCAGAACTGTGAGTCTGACCTTTCTCCGTTTACAAATGCGAGCTCTTTTCTAACCCTTTGACAGGCGGTCAAATCGGACATCGCAAGTACGACTGTCCCGAGCAGCGTAATTTCACGGCCAATATTATTTGCCGGGTCTGTGGGAATGCTGGGCATATGGCTCGCGACTGTCCCGACAGACAGCGAGGTACCGATTGGCGCAACAACGGATACGGTGGTCGCGGAGGTCAACGGGCAATCGGTGGTGGAGATGCGGTGGACCGTGAAATGGAGGTATGTTCATCTCGCCTTATCTATCTTAGGAAAGAACCTTACTCTGACCTCTTCTTTAGCAACTCATGCAAGAGCTGTCTGGTGGCGCCCCCGGTAATGGCGAAGCTCCTCGTCGGATCGAAGGAGGATCTGGCGGTCAGGACCAGGATAGCGACGTCAAACCGTGGCAGCGACCCCAGCCGCCCGCGTCGGACGTGGCTCCCTGGCAGCAGCGCGGTCGGGACCGACCTCGGGACGACTATGGCTCCCGGGATCAATCTACACCTCCGTGGGCTCAAAACCGTGGTGGCGACTACGGTTACGGAGGTGGCTATGGGGCAGCAGGAACTGCTCCCTGGCATCAACAGGCTCCTCCACCCCCTCCCCCACCTCCTGGCGGCCACCCTGGCTATGGCTACGGAGGGTATCCGGGCTTCCCGCCGCCTCCGCCTCCTCCGAATATGCCAGGTGCGCCTCCTCCAGGTCTGGGTGCTGCTCCAGCTCCTCCGCCGGGTCTGGGTTCTATGTACTACGGTGCTGCTGGAACCCCTCCACCTCCGCCACCTGGCGAAGGACCACCGCCTCCTGTAAGTGCATCTGGATCTCTTGGTTTGCAGGAACAATGCTAACGTTACGCAGCCTCCAAGCGACCAGCCTCCGCCACCTCCTCCTCCCGCGTGATTTATTCGCCTGTGCCCCCGGTTGCTTATGGACCTGAACATTCGTTTACTCAGGGGCCTAATGTAGCTGTATATGGAGGCTTGATACTTTTTTTTTCTTCCTTTTCTTGGTTGCAAGGCAACCATTGCCGTTCCGAGGAAAGGGGAGAAAAGAAAAGCATTTTGCATGGATACTCCCAAATGGTGCTGCTGTTCCAGTTCATTGCTTGTGTAATTAGCTCTTTGAGAATTGCTCTCAATAGCAAATCGACGTGACCGTACGGATGATATTGCCTGGTTGTTCACCGTCTGTAGTCCTACTTCCTTAGCGACCGATCTGCAGCCACGATTACAATGTGTTCTCCGTAGTCGACTCCGTAGATTATTCCCCGCGTTTTGGGTGCGAAAAGCGCCAATGACAGGGATGATCGCCCGGACGGCAAAACGTCCGGAAGGCTGAAAGCTTGGCATTGGCCACCCTCTCTTTTTTGCCGGTGCTGATCTCGCGAAACTGATTGATACGGAGTAATTCAGTGTCGTTGCGTCATTTCTCTGTTTCTCGTCTTTCTCCAGCTTATTACAGCTCTTTAAAAACAAAAATATTGGCTGCTGTCCGAACACAATGCGTTCTCGAACACGGCCTTCGCATGTTTTTTTTCGTCATTGATTGATTGATCTTGCTTGTTTGTTTTTCCGTGCCTGTCACACCAACCAACGCTCGTTTGGCCCAGACAGCCCAGCAAAGCGAAAGCCAGCCATGGCGCACCTGGGCGCATCGCACAAGGCCTCTTCCCACGCGGACTTTGCGCTCAATCCCGTCTCCAGCTTTCACTCTGCCACGTCGTCTGGTCCCTCTGGAGGACCAGCGGGCCCGTCCCGGAAGCGTTGGCAAGCTCCGCGGTTCTCGTCTCTGAGGGCCTCGCGGTCCAATAATAATCATCAGCAGCAGCATCAGCAGCATCATAATCATAATAACAGTAACAGCAACAATAATCATAACAATGGCTTGCATCGCAACGAGCAACATCATCAGCAGGAGCAGCAGGAGCAGCTTTCGCCAGAGCAGAGCTGCACCAGCAATGCCACCGCAACGACGGCCAGAAGATGGTGGAGGGTGCGGCTCTTCCGCGGCATGATCAACGACATCAAGCGGCGAGCGCCCTTCTACTGGAGCGATTGGCGGGATGCCTGGGATTATCGTGTCGTTCCGGCGACGGTGTATATGTATTTTGCAAAGTATGCCTCGATCTGACTTCTTATACGCTGCTCTTTTTTTTTGCTGGTGTGAGGACTGGCTTACTGACTGGCTCTCTGCAGCATCCTTCCTGCTCTGGCTTTCTCTTTGGACATGTTCGAAAAGACAAACCACAGCTATGGCGTCAATGAAGTCCTGCTCGCCTCCGTCTTGGGCGCTGTAGTGTTTTCCTTTTTCGCTGCTCAGCCGCTGGTCATTGTCGGAGTGACTGGTGAGTTTCTTCGACTAGACACTTGAGAGGAATGAAAAGATACTAACTACGCCTAGGTCCCATTACGGTTTTCAACTATACCGTCTACGATATCATGGCGCCGAGAGGCACTAATTATCTTGCATTTATGTTTTGGATTGGACTGTAAGAAAGACAGCACTCTCCGTCCTATCTGGCCACTGCTGACTGCTTGAAGTTGGTCCCTGATTTTCCACTGGCTGCTTGCCATTACCAACGCCTGCAACGGCCTCACCTATGTAACCCGATTTTCCTGCGACATTTTCGGGTTCTACGTCGCCTTCATCTACCTCCAAAAGGGAATCCAGGTCCTGACCAGACAATGGGGCATGGCGGGGGACACCTCGGCCTATCTGAGCGTCATGGTAGCCCTTCTCGTCTTGATGAGCGGTTATGTATGCGGCATGATCGGCGAAAGCACGCTGTTCCAGCGATACGTGCGGAAATTCATCGAGGACTACGGCACGCCGTTGACAATCGTCTTCTTCACCGGCTTCGTCCATTACGGCCACATGAAGGACGTCCATGTCGAGACGCTTCCGACCTCGAAGGCGTTCTTTCCAACTGCTGATCGAGGCTGGCTTGTGGATTTGTGGAATATCAGTGTTGGCGAGGTGTTTCTTGCGATCCCGTTTGCCATTCTGCTGACGATTCTTTTCTATTTTGACCACAATGGTGAGTAATTATATTTCGTCAACCCTTTTTTTTAGGTCTTAGGTATCTTTCTAACAGAAACTAGTCTCCTCCTTGATCGCTCAAGGCACGGAATTTCCTCTTCGGAAACCTGCTGGCTTCCATTGGGATTTCTTCCTCCTGGGCCTGACGACCGGCGTTGCTGGGCTTCTGGGGATCCCTTTCCCGAATGGTCTGATCCCGCAAGCTCCATTCCATACCGCTGCCTTGTGCGTTACCCGCCAGGTCGCGGACGAGGACGAGACGAATAAGGGCAAGACGATCCGCGTCACGGACCACGTTGTCGAACAACGCGTGAGCAACCTGGCCCAGGGGCTGCTTACTCTGGGGACGATGAGTGGTCCGCTATTGATCGTGCTCCACCTCATCCCCCAGGGCGTCTTGGCCGGGCTATTCTTCATCATGGGAGTCCAAGCACTCCAGGGGAATGGCATTACGCAGAAACTTGTCTTTCTGGCACAAGACAAGCATCTGACTCCGCCATCCCATCCGTTGAAGAGGCTGAAACGCCGCAGTGCCGTCTGGGCCTTTGTCATCCTCGAACTCGTTGGCTTTGGGGGCACCTTTGCTATCACCCAGACCATCGCAGCCATCGGCTTTCCTGTGATCATTCTGCTCCTTATCCCTGTGCGTTCCTTCCTGTTACCGTACTGGTTCACGCCCGAGGAGCTATCGACGCTGGACGCGCCAACAGCAAGCCCTTTTACCATGGAAAGTGTGGGCGGCACCTACGGCGTTGAAGAAGAGCCCTCATATGCGGAACCATCAGCCGGACAGAACGAGAGAAGGGACGATAGAAGAGGCGGGATTCTGGAAAGCGAGTCTCCATCTTCAGGGCCAAGGGATCGATCGCCCACGTCGTCGGAATCCGTCGTCGAGGACGAGCTCGAACGAGGAGAGCTTTACGAGCTGCAACCGAGGCCATCCATGAGGAGGAGGAGCACGGTCAGCAAGTAGGTTTGAACCTGTCTGTCACTCGTCTGTCACTCGTGAACTCGTAAAATATGACTGAGCCGGCTCTGTCGCTGACCGCTTGTTGAACAGGTACTCGAATGATAGAGTTCACTAGGAAGGTAAAGATAGATGTGACTATGTACGTACACTCTGGGACGAAGGCTCTCCATCCACGCCGGATGCGTGTGGTACACGTACCATGTACCCTTGTATATTAATTAATGTCGTCTCCAAAAGAAAAAAGAAAGTCCTCAGACCCGTCATTATATTATAATGATATACAGGCGTACACACATAATAGAATACAGCACTGGTTGCGAGCAGAGAAGGTACTGTTCTTTTTTTTTCCTCCTCTATATCCTCGAAGCGATCCTAGAGTACGAAAAGCATCATTAAATTGAGTATATACTGTAGGCAAGCTGAGAGGAAATGCCAGCTCCTAATCGACGATCTGAAAAAGGTTGTATCAGCTTAGCTCTAACAGAGAGTGGTGACATGATAATAAGTCGGTTGGGACCTGTCTAGACGGGAGGGTCTGGCAACACCGTGTCTAATTCGACCTATTATTATTTGTCGGCAGTACAGTCAGTCATTTACAGAGTTCAATTTTATACACATTAGTGCTCTTCCTAGAATGTACATTGCTTGATATTGCTGCAAATGACCAGTTTCCAATTCTGTACAAAACTAGGGTAAGTGCACGTGACGCGAGGCTTCCATCCTCACCGCTCACCGCCTTTGGAGATGATTCTTTTCTGCCGAAAGGATTTCATGGCCCCAGAGATAACCTTTTGTTGATAATAATTTTGCTAGACAAGGCATCATGGCGCCCTCGAAAATCTCCAGGAAAGATTTCGAGAAGGAGTCCCTCGCATCCTCACCAGCATCGCCATCACCATCTTCCGACTCCGACTCCGACGACATCGTCGCCGACAGCAACGACATCGAAGCTGAGATCCAGCGGGCCACCAAACGACGACGAGTATCAGTCTCGTCTGACGATTCCGACGTCGCTGCGGCCGCTCCAGCACCCCTGCCGCCGCTCCCGACTCTGTCGCGAATCAAGAAGAAGCAGCCGCAGAATGCGAACGAAGAGAAGAAGCAGCACGAAGAAGAAGAGCCCGTGACGAGCAAAGACGCCCTCGAGATCGGTCTCCGGGTGACCGACTCGACCTTTGCGTCGCTCAATGTCGCGCCCTGGCTTGTCAACGCGCTGTCGACCATGGCCATCCGGAGACCGACCGCCATTCAGCGCGCTTGTATTCCGGAGATTCTGAAGGGTAGGGATTGCATCGGTGGCAGTCGCACCGGTTCCGGAAAGACGGTCGCGTTTGCGGTGCCCATTCTGCAGAAGTGGGCGGAGGATCCGTTTGGGATCTTTGCTGTCGTTTTGACGCCTACGAGGTGTGTATTACAACAAAGAAAGAGAGAGAAAGAGAGACATTGCAGTGCTTGCAGCGCTAACTCCTGGTAGAGAGCTTGCTCTTCAGATATTCGAACAGTTCAAAGCAATCTCCGCCCCGCAAAATCTCAAACCGATCCTGATCACCGGCGGCACCGACATGCGACCTCAGGCAATCGCCCTCTCCGAAAGGCCCCATGTGGTCATTGCAACTCCTGGTCGTTTGGCGGACCACATCCAGACTTCGGGCCAGGACACGATCTGCGGCCTGAAGCGAGTGCGCATGGTCGTGTTGGATGAGGCCGACAGACTGCTGTCTAGTGGTCCCGGGAGCATGCTCCCTGACGTTGAGACGTGCCTGTCGGCGCTTCCGCCGTCCAGCGAACGTCAAACTCTCCTCTTCACGGCGACTGTCACTCCCGAAGTGAGAGCGCTGAAATCCATGCCTCGATCGCCGAACAAGCCTCCCATCTTCGTTACGGAGATCGGCACCGAGGACAACGCAACGATTCCGCCGACCCTCAAGCAGACCTATGTGCAAGTTCCCATGACCCATCGCGAAGCCTTCCTTCACGTGCTGCTGTCCACCGAAGGCAATGCGAACAAACCGGCCATCATATTCTGCAACCGGACCAAGACCGCCGACCTCCTCGAGCGGATGCTGCGGCGTCTGTCGCACAGAGTGACCTCTCTGCACAGTCTCCTGCCGCAGTCGGAGCGGACAGCCAACCTCTCTCGTTTCCGGGCCAGCGCGGCTCGGCTACTGGTCGCCACGGACGTTGCGTCTCGTGGTCTGGATATCCCGAGCGTCAGCTTGGTCATCAACTTCGACGTGCCGCGCAACCCGGACGACTACGTCCATCGGGTCGGTCGTACGGCCCGTGCGGGACGCGAAGGTGAAGCCATCACTCTTGTCGGGCAGCGAGATGTGCAGCTCGTGCTGGCGATCGAGAAGAGGGTTGGCAGACAGATGGTCAAATGGGAAGAGGAGGGCGTCAACATCGAGGGAAGGATTGTCAGAGGCGGTATACTGAAGGAGGTGGGCGAAGCCAAGCGCGAAGCGGCGGGGGAGATTGAAGAGGGGAGAGACGTGCTTGGTCGGAAGAAAAACAAGCTGAAAAAGGTGCGCTAGCGGAAAGAATATATGTCTTTCAGCTATGAAGCAGCCTGCAAGACTGGACAGCATCCAGCGCGTCAAGTATGGGCGCTACGCCTTTCTACACATCATCCCTCTGCTGGGCTATAAGTCTGCAGAGGTATTGATATCAGCAGCTGATCACTCGAGCCAGTCGACAACGGCTCATCCTTTACTTTTTTTTTTTACCATGGTATCGTATCCTTCACTGACCGCAGTGGAGGAGACCCTGGCCGAAGAGATTGAAGAGTGCTCCTCAGTCAGCGAAGGGTCCCTCCCACTGGGCAAAGAAGACCTCTATCGCTAACGCCGATAAGATGACCTTGCGCTCCACACGTGACGTGACGTGACGTGACGGGATCTGACATGCCATGACATGCCATGACCTGCCTGCATATGTGTATGTATGTTACAGTATGTATATGGGCCTGAGGCCACCACCACCACCACCACAAGCACAGTATCACGAATTTTGTATATAGTAAACAGTAATTTTGACTTGTCAATGTTTTTTTTCTTCTTTTTCTTCTTTTTCAATTTAAAGAGGGTTTACAGATTGTCTTTATCCATCCATCTATCCGTTTCTAATACTAATTAATAGCTATTTCTTTTTCTTTGTGGAGAACCCAACCCAACGTGGTGTATGTACTGTACTGCATGAATGGATCTATATCTATCTATGGGTTTAGATTTTAGTGAGAGAGAGAGAGAGAGGAAACAAGGTTAAATAAATAAATGTCAATTCAATTCAATTATCCGCCCCCTTCCTGGGTATCTATCTATGCAATTAATTCCTTTCTTTCTTTCTCTTTCTTTCTCACTTTCTGAGCATGTCTGATCTCCATCTGTGGGTGCTGTGTACTGAGTACTGAGTATTGTACAGAGAAAGAAAGAAAAGAAAGAGAGAAGGAAGAGGTATCTAATGCTGTGTGATGATGATGAGCCTGCTAGCTATGATATGATATTCCATGCCATGCCATGCCATGCCGTACCATCTCATCTCGTCTCGTCTCCCCGTTCTCTCGTGTCATTCCCATGTTTCGATTATTCGATTTATCCGATTATCCACCCATCAATAAATACTATCTCTGGCACGGCTGCGATAACGCGTAGAATAGTGATTGATCGTTCATCACATCTCATCCGGTCCACGTGTCGAGGTTGTCGTACTCAGTCGTAGTCTCCATCAACTTCATCAACCCGTTGACGGCCTGTTCTTTATCCATGCGGTCTGCTATCGCTATCATTCTGTCGACTATGTTCACTCGATTGCTCCCGGCAGGGCGATTGATAGCAGCAGTCGCAGCAGCCTCGGCTGCGGCAGCAGCAGCACCATCAGCAGGATCGCATCTGCGGTCACTGTCGCTGTCACTGTCACTGCTGCTGCTACTGCTACTGTTGCTGGTCGCTCGCACATGACAGGTGGTCGCAGGGTTGTTGGATTGCGCAGGCTCTCTAGCGGTCTGTGGTCTCATCTCCGGACTGCGACGCACAATTGCTCTAGGAGTTGGCATGTCGTCCTCTTCTCGAGGCTGAGTTCCAGTCGACGCGGGTGAAGACGAGGTTATCCTAGCTGCGACGCGCTCCGAACGTGGAGAGGCAACCAACTTGCGCGGTTCGGACGCGGGCACAGTCGGCACAGGGCCTGCGACACTTGCAGGGCGAATTATGCTTCCGGACGAGACAAGACTGGATCTCGAGCTAGCCATAGCCTCGAATTCGGAGAGGGCACGGTCAAGTGAGTGTGAGTTTTCTTCTTCCACGCGACGCATCGCCTTCTGGATTTTCCGCTTGGCAAGAGCTGCTTTCTGTCAAAGCCAGTCTTGTCAGTTATCATGGTAAAACAGATACTGTATCCTGTTGAACACACCTCCTGAATAAACCGTCTACGCGCTTCGGGCTCGGTGGGAACTCGGCTTGCAGGAACCGCGTCCACGCGTTCAGGGCTTTGACTCCGCCTGTCTTGCGAAGACTCCTTATTCTGACGCGGCGGTGCATCCATTTTCGGCGTCTGTGGTTCTATGGCATCCGGGTGAGGATCCTGGATGGTTGCAGACGTGTTAGTTGACCACGCGTCTCGAGTGCCCCACGGCTGAGGACAACAGCGTACCTGAGTCTGAGATGGTGCCGCCTGTCGAGTAGTGTCCTCGAATATCTGAAATTTGCCTTCCCGCTGCGGGGAAGACGTGATCAAAGCCTTTCGAGGATCCGAGTTGTCTGCGTTCTCGTCGACCTGGTCTATTGTCCGTTTCTGGCCGGCGTGGCACGGAGGAGGAGAGAGAGTTCGAGGCTTGGGGGATTCTCGTAAAGGCTTCAAAGGAATCACAGTGGACTTGGGCTTCTCCAAGTCCACTGTTTGTTTCTTTGCTGGCGACCAAGACGCGTTAGGTGTCTTGTCGCCGAGCACGCGTCGGCCATCTTTCACTGGACTTGTTGCCACCACCGTGGACTGCATCTTTGTTTAATCCGGAAGATTCCGTGACAAAATGTGAACGGGCAGGCGGGCCTGTGTTTCTGCGTGGAGGGTATATAGGAGTGAAGGTAGGAAGAAAAGGTAAGAGGAGGGCAGGCTGGTGAATCGTGGTCCCGCAGTCAGTATAGTAAACGGCACCACAATGCCTGCTCCTCCAATTGTTGTGAGCTATATGTGAATTCCAGCAGATGGAAAAATCATCACCGGGTTCTAGGAGGACAACCAGAGTCAAATTAATGAGCAATGGCAAGACAGAGATTCTCAATGGCAGTCGCGTGGGTTGGCTATTGTGAACTTATATGAAAGACCTCCGCGATGGCACCGAGTGGACCTCCGACGGGCAGGAGCTCGGACCAGCGCTCCCATCCACGTCTCGAACGTGTGTAGCGTGTCCGTGTCACTTTATTATTACCCACCGCCCTCACGCGTTCATTGCCTAGTGGACGCCCTGCACTTCAGATTAGGCTGATTGAGGACCATGGATCCTTGGAGCTGGTATCTATTTCTGTTGTCAACTCAACCAACCCCTTTGTCCAGTACGAAAATCTACCTCGAACTGCGGGCTGTTTCATTGTGCAGAGCCTCAATACTCTGCATTCGACACTGCTCTCGAACATGGACATGAGATGGACATACCTCAAGCCATCGATGTACAGGTGCTGACGACAAGGCAGAAAGTGATACCAACTACAGTGACTAACGGACAAGTCCCGGCTCTGGCAATCCTATATCGTGGTTACGAATGGGCATGAAGAGGGAGACCTGCAAATCAATATTCAGAGCAGTGATATGTACTCACCATGTGGCTACTGTCCTACATAGCTGATGACCTTGCTACTAATGAAGATACAGAGTCAAAAAACGGTTTGATCTGGATACTGCTCGAAAGTGCAGCCACTGCATATCTCACATCTCGCGTCCAAACGTGCTACACGGCGTGTGCTGAGGGCGATACAAGTGCTGATGGGTCGATGGAAGTAGTGCCATCGTGTCATTATCTTATCCTTCGACCGAGGCATATCATGGATCGCAGTTCAAGAAACAAAGGAGGCAAAAAAAAAGAAAAGGGGGAAAAAAGAGAGAGTGAGAGAGAACAACAAAAAAGGAGAGGGAAATACAGCTCTGACCAACTTATATTGTGGAAAATTGGTGAGTCTTGTTAATTAGACGCAGGTGAGATGCCTTAGGTACCTAATCTCCCTAGAGCATCCCACGGCTCCAACGATAAGGCATAGCGTAAACTGGCAGCCATCAACGGCCATTCCCTGTCACGGTCTTGCAGGGTTCTCAATCAAAATGCGGTTTGGTATGCTCAGACTCCTCCCATGGCTCTTTGTCTGCTGCTCTAGTGCCGTGGGAAATGCGGGGAATAGCGTCCGACAACGCAGCGGGCGGTGAGGCTGGGCGGGCGAGTCGCGCATTCCTGTTGGCCGAGGCCGTCGCATGACCTCACTGCCTCCGCTCCCGCGGCTGCCGTTGGCCTGCGTTCCCAGGCACGCTGCTTAGCATCCATGCTTCTCCACTATTAATGCCTGTCCCAGGCAGCCCCCTGTCTCTCTTTCTTAACCCGCTCGAGCTGGGGCCTCGAGAAGTATTGTTTAGCCATCTTTTATTCTTCAATCCCGGCCATCGCTGTTTTTCCTGGTGAAAACGTCCCGCGATGCGGTGGTCTCTCGCCGCGCTGGCAGCTCCTCTGCTGCACTCGACCCTCTCCGCTGCCTCCAGTCTGACTCCCCCGGTTCTCCCGTTGATCGTGAGGAATCCGTACCTCAGCACCTGGCTGGGCAATGCTCGTGAAGTTCCATGGTCCAAATGGCCCATCTTCTATACCGGTGAAGAGCTGGGTTTCTCCTTGCTGGCCCAAGTGCCCAGCACCGGCACGGTATACCCATTGCTGGGGAGGCCACAGGATTCCTTGGAGAAGGACGGTAACGCTGGGTACGGCAGTCCTGAACTTCGACACTGAGACTTCTGCTGACAAGCAGAATAAGCTACAAGATCTCCTATCCCGTCTATCAGGGTGCCAACTATGACGCCTCGACCACCAACTTGACGTATGTGATCCCTGGGTCCGATGCCGCCGAACCCTTGGAGATCGTCGTGTCCTTCCTCTCGCCGATTACGCCCACCTCCACCCTGCGGCAGTCCATTCCGGCCTCCTACCTGACTGTGTCCGTCACTGGGACCGTGGACGTAAACGTCTACATCGACCTGAACGGGCAGTGGGTGAGCGGTGATCGCGGAAGTCCGATTTTCTGGAGCCTGGACAATGTCGTTCTGGAAGATGAAAACCGCGCTCTGAAGAAATGGCAGGTCACCCGCCAGACGGAACTGCTGCTGTCTGAGATCGCAGACCGGGCCGAATGGGGTACTCTGCACTTCATTGGGCCTGAGGTAGGTTTCGCCGAGATGTTACAATTTCCCGCAACCTCTAGGGGTACGAGCTGACTTGGCATTGCTAGGATGCTCGACACGAGGCTGGAACTTCGGCGCTGCTGCGCCAGCGCTTCGCCAGGACCGGAACCCTCCAGAATCATGTCGACCGCAAGTTCCGCGCCATCATGGACTCAGAACCAGTCTTCGCCTTTTCGAAGCATTTCGCCCTGAGCGGCAATTGGACCGCCAACACTGAGAGCGTCCTCTTCACCATCGCTCACATTCAGGATCCAGTCACCCAGTTTGCCTCCGCACGAGGACTGACCCTAATGCGACCTCTCTGGAAGTCGTGGTTCCGCACTGAGAATGAGCTGCTCACGTTCCACTATGCGGACTTTGCCAACGCCAATGCCCTGGCCTCCAACTACTCGCAGCAATTGGCCATCGATGCGTACGAATCGGGGGCCGATGACTACGTGGATATCGTTGCTCTTTCGGCCCGCCAGGTGCTAGGCGCTACTAGCTTCTCCGGAACCGCCGAAAATCCCATCCTCTTTTTGAAGGAGATCTCCTCCAATGGGAACTTCCAGACCATCGATGTCATCTTCCCGGCGTTCCCCTTCTTCATGTACACAAGCCCTCGCTGGCTGGCCTATCTCCTGGAACCCCTGATTGAGCACATGTTGAGTGGACAGTATCCCAACACGTACGCCATGCATGACCTCGGCACGCACTTCCCGAACGCGACGGGCCATCCGGACGGGAATGATGAGTACATGCCTGTGGAGGAGTGTGGAAATATCCTGATCATGGGCCTTGCTCTGGTGAATTCTCTCCGCTACTCTGACAGCCAGCAGTCTATCTCCCTTTGGGCTGCCGAGGGCCAGCCCGGCCCGACGCCAGAGGCGGATGGGCCCCTCTTCCCTCTGGACGATCTTCAGGTCGTTGCCGGCATCGATAAACAGGACGGT